ATATAAATAACCAGAGTACTATGATATAGTACTATGATATAAAAATGAAAATGGGAAACATCTGAAATGATTTAATTGGTAAAGTGTGTACAAAGTTTCATAAAATAAGTGCATTGCGGTTCCTTTAGACGAAGTAGTGTGTTTGATATTGTCCCTACAGACGTCAGAACATCTCTTTATTAGTTTTTTGCAAAGATGCAAATATTCCTAGAACTATTGGGTTGTATACATTTGAGAACGGTGCGGAAGATTTGTCATTGATTAAATCAGGTTTAAATTGTCAATAAATAAAGTTTATTATGATTTTTATTGAATGCAAACAATTTTTTTAGTCAAAATGAAAAAATGCCAAAAGTGAAAATAAAATGCATGAGCTATCTCCATTACTGCTGCATTTCATCATTATATCAAAATTTTATGATATTTATTTCTCAATAACATATTTCTTATTTAAGATAGCAATATTACTTTAAACAGAAGTAAGCTATATATACTGAAAATTCTTCCATGAAATACTGCAAAAACATTTTCAGAAGTACCCTGTTGAGACACCGCAATACTATCTTGCAACAGAAACATGTCATTAAGATTTTACAAAAGTTGTCTGGGATAAGTATACAGGGTAAATACTCGTTCTGCAAACGGAATATATTTACAGCTGTTTACTCCAGGGTAAAACTAGGTGTAAGGGGAAACTGCTTTTTTTCTGAAAAGTGGAATGTTTTTCTAAGACATTGGAATTCTCCTTTCCTTCCATTTTCAACATGGAAATGTAAGCTAATGACTGTATCTACTGATGACACATCATAATATATATCAGCCTAACAAGTAATAAAGATGGATTTATGCTGATTTGCTGTATTTTAAAACACTCGGCACAAACTTCTTGATATAATGCCTTAGAAATGCATATAAACAATTCTTCAACAAATTAACAGTAAGACATTATGAAACCCTCTCATTGCACTGTAATAGAGAATTTTCTATTGTGATATTGATGTCTCTGACAGTGATAAGCTTCCAAATCTCATTGTGACTGTAAGCTAACAAGCTCAACATGGTATCCTTATGTTGTCTACTTTTAATTCAGGGGTTCACAGATTTTACCTTGCCTCGATGTGTACAGCCACTGTATCTTTCTATTTTGTAAAATGTTCAACTTTACAACACTGAAGGGAACAATATCATTGCGCCTCCTCATTAAAATGTTTTTTTTGGGGGGTAACAAACATCAGTTCTACTAACTGATCACATAATGACATGATCTATCTCTGTTCTTTTATCTCCTAGAGATCATACTGTATCAGTAGATGTTGTGTATAAAGTGAAAACTTTCTAACAGAATGTCCAACAGAAAAATAAAATACTCTCAAATATGTACTCAAGTATTCAAATAATACTACATCAATGTAAACTGTATTTAAATACAATTAACAGATATGTATAATGTGGATTCCAATTAACAGATATGTGTAATGTGGATTCCAATTAACAGATATGTATAATGTGGATTCCAATTAACAGATATGTATAATGTGGATTCCAATTAACAGATATGTATGTATAATGTGGATTCCAATTAACAGATATATAATAATAATAATAATAATAATAATATACAGCATTTATATAGCGCCCTTTATAATTTGTAAAATTACTCGAAGGCGCTTTACAACATATGGATAATAGTAATGGTTATAATTGTGAAAAAAAACAACAAAGGCTTGCAATCACTTTCATATATTTAACAAGCAATGTGCACATAATTGAACAAGTAAAAGGGTGGTATTTACATGATGTCTTTGCAAAGATTCTAAAATGCAGACGTGAAAAGGTGAGTTTTTATGTCCCTCTTGAACTTGGCCAGGGTATTCGACTTCCTAATAGCAGATGGTAAGCTATTCCACAACGTAGCCGAAACCCTCCCAAAGCATCTGTTTCC